CATATGTATATTTATTTATAATTGCTCCCTTACCAGATGACTTATCACTAGCAGTAACAAAACTAAAATTCTAAAAAAATGTATAGATTCAAAGAGTTGACCAGATAGCTTAGAGGATTAAAATGGTTGCTTAGGCAGGCACAGGGACCAAGGTTCGATCCCCATTGTGCCATGACAGCCCCACCCCCAGGATGCACTGAGAGGGTGACTAAGACTAGGTGTGGTGGTGTGCGGCTATAATCCCAGCACTGGGAGGCTGAAGACAGGAGGATCACTATGAGTCCAACCTGGGTAGTGAGACCCTGTAAGACCCTATACTCAAGTACACAGAGAAAAAGTTTTACAATCAAATTTGATGGGGTGTTGAGTAGCTACAAAACTATTTTTTTTTAAACTTAGTCACTATACAGTGATTTCTTTTTCCACATGTGAAGAAAATACAAAACTATGTTTACACTCTATCACTCTGAAAAGGACAGAAACTGAGAAGGCACTCGGTAAAGTTAAAAGCTCTCACTGTCCTTTTGAATTAGTTAACAGTATGTGTATTATTAGAAGCAGAAACAAGAAAGTTCCTTTTGACACACATTATGTAAACTGCAGTAGAAAAGTTCTAGATTGTGCTCTTTCCTAATTAAAATGGGTGCTCCGGGCCTGGAATGATTCCAGCCCTGGGTAGCGAGTGCAGCACACAGGCCACGAGCTTGTCCTGCATGGAGAAACTCCAAAACAGCAAGCAGGACTCACTGCCGGCCAAGGACTATCACTTACGTCATCTCAAAACAGTGCAGACATGTTTTAGATTCCATGTATCTGTTAGGGCATCAAAGTGCCAAGCATCCCATCTTTAAATCATTTGGATCCCAAAGGGAAACTAAAATTACATGAAAAGAGAAAAAAAAAACACAAGGGGGAGAATGGACATTTTTTTAAGTCTTTATTTTTTAGTTGCTCCTCCCATAGTAATGCACTGAAAGGCATAACAGTTTATATTGTACAAAGCATTTGAAGAAAGTACCTCAACTTGCCGATTATTTCAAAATGAGATTACAAACAAACAACAAACAAAAAACAAAACAAATCTTGTTCCTCAATAAAAGGAAAAATAACTGAATACAGTCTGATATTTACTTCTCTCTTTTAACATAAGGTCGGGAACACTTCATTTTACAAATAGGATTAACATGAACGTAACATCGCACAAGCTTGCAGACAACCAGCATAATATGGGGTACAGTTTTTAATCAGAAGAATCATGCTTTCATGAAAGAAATTATAATCGTTTATACAATTGAATCAATTTTAGTATTACAAAAACTAAGTTGCATCTATTCATATTTAGCTCATTAAGAAGGAAAACAAAACAACAACCAAAAAAAGGAATGTTAAGAAAAGCCAAACCCCATTCGGCACTCCCACACACAGGTCCAGTCACCTTGGTCCTTGCAATTGAGAGAGGGGTGTGCCTCTAACATCATAGAATAGTGGCTGACTGGAACAGTGCTATTTTAATCAACAATCAATAGTTTGCCAACAAATAAATACATGATACACACAACACAAAAAAATTAAACATTAAAAACCAGTGACATGATTGTCTAAAATGAAGATGTTATTACAAGCATTTGGCAAACATTTTATTAGTGGTACGTCGGTACTGGTGATGAACAGGTTAAATCACTGACTTAACCTCCTGAAGCATGAACATCCATAGTTTACAATATACACAGACCCTTTTCCCCTAGTTTTAAGCCATGTATTTAAGAAGGCAAAAGTTAAAGGGGGGAACAAATACTCCCTTTCATCAGTTTCTATAATAATTGACTGTGCATTTCACCCAGCTACTTCCATCTTCAAAGGGTTAAATTACAGAAGACTTTAACAAAGAGAAAAATTAAATCTGTAATTCAAAGCAACTGTTCCCAATCATTTCAGGTAATCTTGTACAGATAAGAATTCGGTTTCTACGGAGTGTTCGTTCATATCAAGGCTGCCATCTCAACTGCCCCTCTTGCCCACCCACACCCTAGGCAGGGTGAACTGGAAGATGCCTTTTGCCCAGCAAGTTTTTCATTTCCACGGACTCACTTTAAGTCAAACTGATCCTCCAGAAGTCAGCAGCTGCATTTGCTGTGCAAAAAAAAAAAAAAAAAAAAAAATCGAGAATAAATAGTTTCCTTTGTCTTTCTTTTTTCTTTAATCATTCAGTTTAAGGTCACCAGACTTTAAATGAGTGACCTTTCAGATTTATAAGGCATTCTGCTCAGCAGTCTTGTAAATAGTCCTATAGGAAAGAACCATGCTACTGGTGGACTTGGTCCCATTCTGGTCAAGCTTAGTATGTCATACACGGCTGATAGACTGGATGGCACTGGATTCTGCTGCAGCCCTTGCCATGCTGTGCCACACGGCGGAAGAACTGTGAGACGCTGAATGGAGGGCTTCCTTGTCAGACAATGACAGCATCATAGCATACGCCTGAGGTAAAAGGAGAGACTCGGTCAGTAAGTGGTATTTGAAACACATACCGTTTCCCTTTATTTTTCTCAGTACTGGGAAATTCAACTCAAGGCTTTCCTACCCAGCTATACATCCTTAGCCCTTTCTCATTTTTATTTTGATACAAAGTCTCCCTGAATTGCTAATTTGTTTCATCTGGGCTGGAACTGGTGAGGTTCTCCTGCCACAGCCTCCTAGAGTATAAGCATTACTGTCACGCTTCACCTGCATACAGACCAGGTGCTTTTCAACCAGAATTGCTTTGGCAAGTATCAAGTTCCTTTCATTTACCCCTGCACACTGGCCTAAGATGCAGGCCTCCTTCAACACAACCGGGTGGCACACAAGGCACTCTGTCTTCTGAACTTCTCTGAGAGCAAAGAATAAGAGACAATCTGTCCAGTATCGCTCAATGACACCAAAGGCCTAAAACCGAGTCCTTCCCAAATTTGAACCCAGGGGAAGGACATATATTGATTTTGCCCACATTTTAATCCAGTATTATTTTACATCCACTACTGGCACCCAAAGACCTTGAAAGTTGAGGTGTATCAAATCATCTCCACCAACACAAAAAACACAGTGCAAGGCCCGATGCCGACCCAAGCACCCTGTGCCCAGCTGTCGGCCGAGCGCCAGCACACTGAGGTGCCGTGAGGAAGTTCTCATTCTTCCTCATGATCATGTCACATTCTAAGTAACTGTTCAGAGAATCCCTATGGACTGCCAAGTAAAATATTCAAATGAAATGTTCCGTCTTGACTTGTGAGTGAACTTTTCACTGCTGATTTGCTATTGTTGGTCCCATCCATTGCTAACCTTGCTTGTCAAAATGCTGCTGAAGTGGAATCATTAAAGTCCTGCCAAAGACATTCCACTGTCTGTAAACAAAGAAAAAATGCCTGTTGTTAGGCAGAATTTCATCTGTGGGAGTCATGCTGAGACATGTGGCCAGTCTGTGGTTTCTTCTATAATCATGGCATTCAGTTAGAAAATCTCCCTTTACAGGCTGATTTCGATTTGCTGGGTCATTGCTGTAAATGTACACATTTGACTTTTATGTATTCAATTTGCCTTCCGGACCTATACAAAACCTCACTACTCCTTTAACAAGTATTTCTTAAGCATGTACTCTCTGCCAGGCACTTGCTAGGTCCTAAAGAATCAGATAAATAATACAGTTTTTCTCCTTTCTAGAGTTTAGAGTACGGATTGAGTGAATATTGAACTTAATCTATTTATTCAGCTTATATATCAATCTTTAGAGGTAAAATAAATATCCTGAAATAATATTAAGAAAACTTGTGATCTTTAGAAAAATGTAAGGCAATATAAATAAAATTTTGACATCTTTGGTCTACTCCAGGTTTCTAGCCTACCTTTTACTTAGCGGACATCGTGATTTTAGTCACGTTGCTTCACTTGTAAGTTTTATTTTCCAACATTTATAGAATGCAGTAGCAATAATTGTGCTCATCCTCAAGCTTCATAGAGGAACCCCTGACTCTAACTTACATAAAGCACTTAGACCGGTGTTCCTCCTTTAAGCAGAATTTATTAACCTGAAATTAATACCCATATATGTAGAATAGAATTCTTTAAAGATTTCATGTAGAATACAGCCACTGTTGTATTGGTCAAAATTTTTATTCAATTGCTACAAAAATCACAGAGCAAATGCAGAAATATTTTGAGTAAAACATTTGAAACTTTCAATGCAAGGAAATGGTAAATATAGAATATATTCTTATTAATAATCAAAGGAAGGGCTGGCCAAATAGCTCAGCGGATTAAAGCACCTGCAAGCAGGTACAGGAGCCTCGAGTTCAATCCCGGGGCCTGCCGTGCTGGCCCTGCCCCTGGGGTGTGCTGAGATTGCAATTGAGACTGGGCATGGTGGCGTGCGCCTGTAATCCCAGCTCTTGGGAGGCTGTAAACAGGCGGATCACTACAAGTCTGATCTAGTAGTGAGACCCCGAATACCCTGTAGACCCTTCCCTGAGATACAAGAAAAATAAAATAAAATAAAATAAAATAAAATAAAATAAAATAAAAATAATCAAAGGAAAAACACATTCAATGCACAAGGATCTGGGTGTGGCACAAAACTTTTATGAGTTAGTGAGTCACAGAATACAGAATGAATGGTTTCAAGAAATACTTAATTTGGACAAATGCCCCACCATTTGCAGACTAATATAGATGGCATAATCAAGTAACAAAAAAATACAAGCTAGGATTACAAAATGTTCATATTTCTTGAGATGACAATTGTCAGTAGGAACTTAATGCCAATATGTTGCTACTGAATTATACAACATATCCATTCTTTCTAAGTGCTCAAGCTTGTTGGCTTTCTATACCTTTTGACAGTTTCTGATGTTCAACATTATGTCTCACACAGAAAGTATTTTCAGTAGAATAACTAAGTAAGTTTAAAAAGAGGAAACTTGGATCCTTCTGATATCTCTGATCAGCTAGAAAGAATGGAAAATCAACGGCTTTTTAAAAATCCTAACAACTTCTAATGAATGGCTAAGAGAAAACGAGATATCTACTTGGGTTAGTTAATTTGTAAGATTTACAACTGAAAAATTTACTTTATCTCTATTAGATCATTGAGATGAAATTGTTGTCTTATCTACCCTACTCCTTAACAAGGAAAAGGCATCAATTCCTAACCTTTAAATTATGTTCTCACGCAAGTGAAGACAGTTGGTAGGAATTTCTAATGTCCACACTGGCTGCCTTAACATGAGTTCACAAATAACATTAACTTTTCTATCATCATACTAATAACAAGGTTTTCACTGAATTTAATAACATTAAAAATATTGAATTATCCCACTGACACAGTGTTTTCCCTATTTTAGTGGAGATTTGCTATTACAACTTACTACATTTGCTATTAAGATCAGCCCAAAACATCTCAGGCAACATTTCTTATTTAGAAATCAGTGTCAAATGTACAAGCTAATACGATCATACTGATAAGTCAGACCACCTCCAAAATGGTATCATGGATAAAACAATTCAACCAATATGATCAATAAATATGGCATTGGGCAGTTATTTTTTAAAAGATGGACCTGAATGAACATGTTCGTTAAGTATAGATATAAAAAAATACTAATTTCCTTTTCTTAAAAGAATAAAGCCTCTTTTAATTGGTATTTATAAATGCTTAAATAGATTTAGTTTTTGTTATTATTCTCACAGAATGCTATAGAACTCAGGGAATTTGTGTGTTATTCATTTATTTAATAAAAAATTCATTTAAGGCCTTGGTACTCATTTCATTTCTGATTTCAGTTTGCTCCTAAGTTCTATAACTTAATCACATGTTAATTAATACACTTAATATACTACATGCAGCTAAAAACAACAGAATTTGCTTTCTAAAAATCCTAACGTGACCTTATGTTGGCAAAAAATATGGTTAATTAAACAATCAGAAAATAATTCTCAAGTAATATATAAACAACTAAACAAACATTATGAACTACCTAGAAGAAGTAAAAGAACTGCAGAGCAAAGGAGAAATCATTGTAGAATAGGGCTTGTCACAGAAGTTTCTGTGCTGAATGAAGCCATATCAGTTGGTGCACAGGGTCACTCTTTTGGATTCAGTCATATATAAAGACAGGACCACTCAGGCAAAGCACCTGGACCTGCTTCTAAAGTACTGCAAAGGTAAAATATTTGCCTTCTGCTAATGAAAGGAAATGTACATTTGTATGCACAATGTCCCCATGATGCTGAACTGCAGGAAAATATGTACCTGTGACTTGGACTTTCTGTGTAGCGGCTGCTTAAGTTCCTCTGGCACATGGGCAGTACCAAAAGAAGACAGCTCAGCTTCAGTATATTGATTATCTTCCATTTTCCTCATTTTGAGGCTGTCTGTGAAGTGCCTTATGTGATCTAGAGCAGAAAGTCCAGTTTTATATTCTTCCTCTTTATACCTAAAATGAACCAATGGGAAAGCACAGAAGGGTTTTTTTTTTTTCCTTTTTCAGTTTCTTTTTTAATCAAATCACTTTTATTAGAATTTAAACAGCTATCAAACTTCATGTTGTATTTGCTGTGTAAAGTGTCACTCACCAATGGTTGGATTCCGTACAATATTTATAAATACCTTATCTTAAATCATGCTTTTCTTGGATATTTTTTATTAACTACAGTCAAGTATATATTTGAGATAAAATCAGTGACACATTAGGTCAGCAATGTGTGCAGAGAGAATTCACGCATCTAAAATTTCCATTTCAATGAAAGTTATGAAAACATGAGGTCAGCACACATGATCCTCATGAAAATATAATATTCCTGTCAACTCTTTGGCTAATTTTTCCATTTAAAAATCAATTATGTATGCAGGTTATATAAATATATAATGAAGTCAAATTTATCTTAGCAATATTTGTCAGATTATTGAATGACATTGTATCGTGTGGAAATCTCTAGTTTCCCTTGGGCTTAAGTACAGTCTAACCTAAGTGACTGTGTACCTGTGTCATTTTTACATATCCTTCCTACCTCACGCAGCACTCTGCAAGTACAAGAGCATTGATACACTTGCACACTTTATTCATAATTCACCGTGTTTTACTCTTATAAAAGTGGTGCACTGTGTGCACCTTGCTAATGCCAATCTAACTTCCATGGCTCATTGCTCCCCAATTCCAATCACATGCAATACTATAAGGGCAAAGCAGAGCAGGAGGAGAGACAAGCGTGTGTACTCTCCCCTCGTTTAGCCTAGCAGGCTGCCCGGTGCACTGACCTCACTGGGGACGTCTTACAACTCATCTCCAGGGCACCAGCTTCTTCAAAGTCATCTTCAGGGCTTCCTTCATGCAGACTGCTGGCCACGGGCTCCTTCGCGGGTTTTCCTGTGAGTTCGTTGTCTTCATCCTCCTCATCCAACAACACCTCGTCTTCCACTTCCTCATCATCCAGTAAATCTGAATTCTGACCAGTCACCAATACCTTCTCATCCTTATAGTGACTGCCATTTATTCTATTAAAAAGAAAAGGGCTCAATTATTGGTTTAATGTTTTAAGCATACAGTTAGCTTTCTTATCATCTCCCTAAAAGTTGTCCAGCTTTTTGTACACCTACGCAGGAAATTTTATAGTTTATACTTTATAGCAATCTTGGGAGAATAATGTAATTTCACATGTTAAAAAAATGAGAGAAAAATAATTGGATGGTTATTAAGATTATAAATGGAGTCACTGGCAGAACTGGAAAAATAATCCCAGCCTCTGATTTCATATAAGCCTTTCACGTAACAAATGATATCACTGTATGCAGAACAAAACCAGAAAGTGCTTTTTTTGCATAATGTACCTAATTATTATTTAAGTACCTGCAATTTAAAATAACTAAGTCATGGAGAATTCATATTCTTGAGCAACAACGACAATCACTCAACACATACAACTCAAGTTATCTCACGGTTCCAAAAATATGAAAGTAGCTACCAAGGACCAGTGTTACGTTATACTACTAGTTCACATCTGTGGTATACCCCACTTAGACTATCTACCCAAGCTTGGAAGCCATTAAGAGCTACTTCTTGTATTATTTCTAAATTATTCTTGATAGTCTGAATATTGAGAAGTTTCCCTATTTTCAAGAAAACACTGACGTAAGCAATGTGACTGTACACCTATTTCAGTGTAGCAGCACCTGCCTGGCCAAGTGTGGGGTCCTGAGTTCGATTCCTGATACCAAAAAGAGAGAGAAGCAAATCTCTTTTGAAGTTTTACTTAGCAAGCACTTCTAACATAATGATGCCAAAGAAGAATATTACATCATAAAATGTCATCTGCAATACTATTGCTTGTTTTCAAGGATTATAAATGTAATTTAAAAGAAATTATAAAAAGTTTAATTACTCAAGAATTCTAATTTAATACATTTGAGTGATTTATAACTAAGATTAGCTTCTTGGGCTTTCAAATGAATAGTAAACAAGAAATCAGTATTTAATTTTTATCATAAAATTGAAAGTAAAACTATAGAAAGTTAAAATTAGTTATAAAATAAGATATAGGAAATGATATCAATTTTAAAAATATCTTCTTGTAGGCTCCTCCCCTTAAAGATCTATGACTAGAGAAATTAAGCCACTTGGAGTTCAGAAAGCTTGTACAGAATGGAAACATCATAGGTACAAAGATGTCCTAATTCCTGGGTAATTCATGGCCTTCCATTTTCCCTTCTTCCTCTATTTCCTAATTCAGAAAACTCATGGAGACTATTAAGTTACTGTTATGGCCATGTATGATTTTCATATATAATTATGCGGCAGATTATGGAAGATGAGGTATCACAATGTATTCCTAACGTTTTCTCATATAAAGCATAAGCACAATGTGATATTTAGATTTCCCAACAGAAATTAACACATAAATAAAATGTTCTTGGATATGATGCATGGAGTAAAAGTCCATTTGACCACAAAAATTCAAATCATTATTACAAAGTATTTAATATAATCAGTCTATCAACTTGCTTTATCACAGAATGGTGAACACAGATTTTACACCATTATAAATTATTAGTTTCCATATATGCTGCCAGTTTTCTAGCTTAAATGGATCAAAATTGCTAATTTTTAAATAAAAGACAAGAAAAAAAAAGAGAGAACATGGATGAAAACAAAAAGTAATAAAGCCCACTTAACTAAGAAAATATATTTTTTAATTATGCTTTCAAATAATGCACCTTATAGGGATAACTTATGCATCAAAAGTCCTCCGCTGGAGACTCAACTCTTCTTTCTGTACTGTTCCGGCATGTTGAAGCCAGATGTTATAGCAATGGCTCACAAATTTCCAGTGAAGAGCTAGAAACGCTGAATGAGGATTTCAGAACTAAGTGATCTTCGTCTCAGTTTTTCTTATTCGTATCAGGTAAATATTATTTTCAAAATGTAAGACTGTAACTATGCTTCTTCACTGCTATTACCACACTGGGCTTCTGATCATGTGCCGCCCTCCCTCAGCGCTCCCTCCTACCCAGGGAAGCAGAGGGCAGGGTGTGTGCAACAGCACGACATCATTGACCTAACGAGACTTCTTGGGTGTCTAGGGAGATCTTTTTTTTCCTTTTTTCTTAAATACATTTTTATACAAGTTGAAGAACTAACGTGGCCACAAGTTTTGTGTTATTTTGATTAAAACGTTCACTTGAAGCAAGTTAATGGAGAAACTACCCTAAGTAATTGACCTTGACTTACTACCAATTTCAAAAATAGAGTCCACTAACCCTTTATAATTGTATGATGAAAATTAATGAAACTTACACCAATTTTATAATAAAATTTATAATGTATCCTACTAAACATTTTAGCATCTTAATTTAATGAGTTACAACATAGTTATGTTTAGGAAAATACTCTCAATTTCATATATTTAATTATAACATATAGATAACAAATTTTAATTCAATAGTTTTAGCAAAAATAATGTTTGATGAGCTTCATGTACGAGGTAAAGTACTAGGTAAGTGTAAGTTATTACCAACAGCATTAAAATAAGAATCTCAGAACAAAATGAGATTCTCTTTTAATATGTTTGATGCTCATGATAAGAAAAGGGGACCCATATACTAGGTCACTCAAAACAAGAATAATTATGGTCACTGAAATAAATGTACCAGAATTATATGAATATTCACTTGAGAGGACACAAGGTAGTGAAAGAATCTGAATTCGGAAGTCTTCAATAATTTCTACATCAAAGATATTAGGATGAAAATAGATAGCTAATGCATAAATATATACTTATATAAAGAGAAATGGCAGAAGAGAGACAAATATAGGGAAAGAAACAGAGCCTCAGATTGCCTGTAATACACATAGGATATATAATAGTAACCACTAATCACAGTGACTCCATTGAGTCTGTGTGGCAATTGTCCTATCTCCTTCTAAAATTTGGTAAAATATTCTATTTAACTATGGAGGGAAGCAGAACAGTGTGGTGGTATTGGACCCCGATGGACTGGGTTGAATCATATCTATTGCTTGTGTGATTTCTGGCATGTCATTTAACCTTTGATGTCTCCATTCTTTCACTAATAAAATTGCAGTCACTATCTCAGAAGATTATCATGAGAATTAAATTAATATGTGTATACTACTAATTTATATGGTATTTAATACGTACTTCACAAATGCTAGACATCAATGGTAGCAGCAATAGTAATACCAATAAGTGAATAGAGCAAACACATTTTGAAAAACACTCATTTCAGGTGGCATAGAATTAGTTCATTGAAAGAACAGTTAGTGTTCATATTATTTGATCAATCTTATATTCCTATATCTGGTAATCGGAGCAACTACTTTGAAGACAATAATAGGCAATATAATTTTTAATTTACTATCATCTTGTTTTGAAACTCTGCATGGCTTTTATTGTTGTCTTTATTATTGTCTTTAAATTTTTGTTAAAGTCTCACCTCTCCTCTGCATTCCTGGGAGACTGGCTGCTGTGACTGCTATTCCCAATGAAATTCCGAATTTCTGTGAAGTAAGCATCTTCCTTGTCATCCAGGATGGCGCCTGTGCTTTCCAGTTCAGAGTGAGGTGATGATGTCGCTGTACCTGAGCGGAGCAGAAAGCCTTTGTCACAAAAATTATTATTTATCTGGCAACTTATTTGCAACCTTGCTCCTTAGCAATTTGATCAGTATTGTTTCTAAAAACATACTTTTTGAATATTAACAATAGTAATCAGAGGAGGTCAAAGTCCACCCTGTTTATTATAATACAGATGCCCGCAAAAGTCCCTTAGGAATAGTTCAAGCCAGTACGGTCATAATTTATAGTCTCTGTGGATGTCATTTCTCTCAGTACTTTTAGCCTATCCCCACTGTGACATGGGGACATTTTTATTCATATAATCAGTAATAGGGTGAGACAAATTAAGGACAGGTCTTAAAAACACTCCACTATATTCTGTTATGAATACTGGTGCAACAATACATTTTATTGATGCTACACTAAATGACTTACAAAATAAAGATTGAAAACATGCTGAAAAATCTGGCTCCTGGTTTTGTGGGCTAAGCTATGTGTAGAACTCAGAGCACACAAGCTGGGAAGCTGGTCCAGTATTAAGAGGATAATATGGGCTCTGCTTGTTACAGGAAGTTCTTCAGCTTTCTCATCTATAAAACTGAAAACAAGACCTATTTCCCTGGATTGCTGTGTTGTTTAAATAAATTGGCACAAACATGAGTACTTTATCTGTGGTCAAATTTTATATCTACATTAAATTTATGCTGATTACCTTGTTGATAAACTATCTACAATTTAATAGTTCATCATACTGGTCTATATGACAAAAATAAGAGGTTAGAATATCACTTCTACGTAAAGAACATATAATCTGGGTTAGCAGATAAGTGCTCAGCTCTAATAAGTTACAGTTTTCACTTTTTAAATCCTGAAATAACTCTGATTAGAAAATTATAGTACTACGCTAGAGGGGTCACACAGAAATTGTTCCATATATTTGATTAATGTCCGTGCCTAAAATCTAGCATTTTAAAGCATGATCATTAGATTTTTAGCTTGAAGAATGTTATCAGGATGTAGTTCTAAGTAGTCCCTATTCAAGAGCATGGACAATGTACCTATTGAGGAAGGATTAATAATAAAATAATTTCTTTAAGGGTACTTGTATAGCATGTATAAATTCAACTCTTTTTTCCTGCTCTTGCTCAACTCCTCTCTTTTGCTCAACTCCACACTCATGCCTGTCCTCCTCATTCATTTCTTTGACTCTAGAGACAAATTGCAACTTCATGGCTTGGCTCCACACACGGAGGCCAGCAGCAAATATTAGTTAATGACTCACTGCCTGCCTCTTAGAAGCCAAAGACAAAAAGACCGGCAATCCTTTCTGTTAAAAATGTGCTGGCCTGGTGGGTTTCAGTTAAGGTAAGGCTAGTTTTTCATCAGTTGATTTTAACTTAATTTTATATCAGAATTTGTGACAAAGATAAAACACCCATAGTTTTCTGTGGGTTGATCTGATCAAGAGTTCTGTCCCTGGTCCCTACAAAGCTATCTTGTAAAGATTCTCTGAACCACAGGCTTTCTACACAAGCAACAGTGGCTTCTAGGTTCATACTCTGGGGCTGCTGCTGCAGAAGTCCTGCCTGCTTAGCACACACATTCGATGGCAATAAGCTACAGGATTATTATTTCGTGTGTGTGTGTGTGTGTGTGTGTGTGTGTGTGTGCCTGTGTGTATTTGGTACAGGGTCTCACTATACAGCTCGGACTTGTAGTGATCCTCCTGTTTTCAGCCTCCCCAGTGGTGGAATACAGGTGTGCGCCACCAAGCCTGTACTTGGTGGCCGGTTCAGGACACCTGGGGTCAGCACCAGTGCAGCACGTGGTGCAAGGAATCAAACCCCAGTCTGTGAGCTATCTCACAGACCATTTAAAGGATTATTGTACACAATTTACGGAACCTTGATGCATACGTTGCCAGTGAGTTTTGGATAAGGCTCCCTTTGCTTGAGATTGCCCATTGAGATGAATCCAGCAGAGGAAAAAATGATAATAAATAATATAAAGTCACCAAGTTACACATTGATCAATAATCACTCACATGATTCTATATCCCACAGGGAAATTTGCTGTTAACTTTCACAGACAGATCTGATTTGGGAGTCAAAACAGAAATGAGAAAGATCACAACTGTCTTTTAAAATATGTAAAATAAGCTATCTTTTCTCAGTACAATTACCCACCAGACATGTTCCCGTTCTCGTGCTTCTTTAAGTGTCTGTCTAAGTTGGTTTGCTGACCAAAACACCTATCACACAAGTGACATTTAAACGGCTTCTCCTTATTGTGGATGTTGCGAACGTGCCGCTGCAAGTTAGAAGATATGCTGAACGATCTGTCACAGTATTTGCATCTGAAAAACAAACGCAGAGAAAATATGCACAAGCAAATCCAAAGCTATTTCCCAAGACTAGAGAAACCTAGATCAAATTTATTACCCATTTAACACTAGTCAATAATAGACAGTTAAGTCCAGGCACCAAGAAGGGCGCTAGTCACACAGTCAAGAATTCAATGCCAATGAACTCTGAGGATTATAAAGATTTTTCATGACTTTATAAAAAAAACATAATAATGTATGGGTGATTTGATCATTCCCAGTTTTATGAAGGTAAAAAATTATAATATTTTAAATAAACCTGAAAAATTCAAAGCATTAGAAACCATAGCATTGTTTTTCTTCTTATGCTTAGTATAATGCAATTGAATCCTTTTCAAACATGAAACAAATTCATGTGTTCTCCAAAATAAAGATACTTTTTAAATTCAAAACTGAAAATCTAATTAAATAATTTCCAAGGAAACTTACCTACTCTGCTGAAATCCCAAAGAAAATTCCCTTCCATCCCCCAACTAGCAAGCAATTCCAAACTTTATAAACTGAGTAAATGTGAACACTGTGAGCTGATACCAAAGACACTGATTTTTGTAACTTGAAGATTAGAATTCCCAAGACTTTTAATAAGCTTTATGCCATCACAAGAGCAGTAATAATGCTATTAAATTCTCCTCTTGGAGGAAATCAAATGTTTGCATTAACTTTCTCTTTCTGTAACCCCAAACATTCCATGTATATTTTTCTTAACATGTTACAATTTCAGTAGTACTTCTGAATAAGCTGCGTTTTTCAGAAAAACATTTATTATTGGTTGGTTAATTATTTCTGCTTTCCATTTGATAATCATAGAATGATTTAAGGTTATTTTAATGTAAAATAAAAAATATAAAATGTAAAGCTCCCACCCCTCAGTTCTACGGCTAAGGAAGAAAAGTACTTTTTATAATTGATGAGGTTACTCTCTATTGGCATTTGAAGACCAAAATTTTACCATTTCTTTGGGTAATTTTCATGTATCTTGCTTGAAAAAAAAATGATTTTCTCCTAATGCTTTTCAAGTAAAATTTTCTAACTCAGTGGCCAATAAACCCTTAACTCATTCTTCTATACATGAAGAGCCCTTGTCCCACTTCTGAATGCAGACTCAATTTCAAGTACTCTACATCAGAAATCACTGCATTCTTTTCAAAGTCCTTGGGCTTCCCCAACTGTCCCTATGGAATGCTAGAAATCTAGTCAGTTCAGTGAGAAAAATAAATTTATTGTGATAGTTACTATGGCATAGTGGAATAACCCAGTTGAGGCCTGAGTTAAATTTCCTTGTTAAAAACTATTCTGGCATCCTCAATATTTATTGCTTATAATGTTGATAAGTTTGTGTAAAACAGTGTAGTGATAGTAGCTATCAACTTTACATCCGCTTTTGAAAAAAACTGTATGTGAACACATAGGCTTCCCTATAGTAACTTTATTTAATTCCAAGGCCCGCTGCAGTGAGAAGCATAGTACCTTTCGTACAGTTTTGTTGTGGTAAGCAGAGCAACCTGAGAACTGACAGAGAAACCCTACATTCCCACCAACACTTTAGGAGAATTTTTACTCATAAAATTTTCTTCAAAAATCATCAGGAAAAGAGATTTCATCTTTGACGTGCTTTCAATTATCTGTGATGTGCAGAGGATTTTCCAAATCCAGTAAACACTTTAAATCTGAATAGAGCAACTGATAAAGTCTACCCAATGATCAACTCTTACACTGTATGTGTCTCCTGATAACATCTTGGGCAGAAGAGTGAGTGCTCTAGATTAAAAAAAAAAAATTGGATGCTATTCAAGTAAATTGGTAGCTGATTAAAGGGATGCTTAAATCAAGGCTAAGTTTCAAAACTTCTTAAAATGAACATGTATGTTACTAGGACTTCCTATTTACTGGAGGTAGACAATGCATTCAAAGCAGCTTCTAAAATTATGGTCTAAAAATGCACTTACGAAGGGAGAGCTTTGGACTTAGGTTTCAATTCTGATACTAGACTTTCTAAACACTGTAAGCATCTATAAATCTGATTTTTTTTTCATTTGTTATATAGAAGGGCTTGACAACATTAATTAAGATCTCCAGCTATGGAAAATTTCTGGTTTGTAAATTCTTTAAAAATTCATATATAAAAATATCATCCAGGATAAAGCTATTGCACTTAGGTATAAAAAGAAAGAGTAAATGAGTGTGCTGTCCTAGTTGTACACCTTGAGCATAACATTTAGATGTGAAAATCTTTCCTTCTCCTTCAGAAGAATTCCTGGAAGATTAAATCTTTGCTAAAGAAGAAATTATCTAAAACTTATCATTATTGTATCTTTTGAAGGGCTGTTATATCAAGCACATTCTACTCTGCATAAAGTTGAACTATTACTCATGCTTAGAAATTTATAAAATATATATGAAATCAAGGAATTAAAAACATTGATTTTCAGTTTAAAGCATTCTAGTTTTCTATTAAAATTTTACTTATCTTCAAATAAGTAATGACCTATCCATTTTTTATTCTATATAAAAAACCTTCAAAACTGAATAAATTGCTTATTTCGAATGAAATGAAAAAAAGAATAAAACAAAATGGTTAGTATTCAGACCAAAATAATTTTATACATATGCAATGCACAAGAATTTCAAATGAAAATGAAATTATAACATTGCATAAGATAAATATCATTTATTCTTATAAAAGGTATTAACAAATTCCTAGCCCTTTACATAAAACATTGCATATTAAATAATCTACATTATGTTTTAAGCCTGGGAGAGGCCATGTTGCTTATTTTTATTCTTTTGTGAACAATAATATTAATAGATATGTCCCATGTTTCATCTGGCTAATTTTGACCTTTAACAGAATAAGATGAGATACTTTAGGACATCGTTAGTAGAATCAATACTTTTCTGTATTATACTTGATTTTCTCTGTTTTATCTCCAGTTATAGATTTCTTTTTTCTCCTTCCCACATTTAAGTTTTGTTTTTTTTTTTCTTAACCTCTTGTTGGGACCTGGAACAAAGATTTAGCTGTTCTAGGAAGACAAAGTATATAGAGATAGATTGTTAATTCCTAGCTCACACTTGATGCATAGAAAAAGGAAAGTGCAAGTTGCAATTGTATCAACTACAAGGGTACGAATTATTGAGAAGAGACTAAGACTAAATAACAATAAAAATTTAAAGGACTAACATCTCTTAAATGCTTTTTTTTTCTGAAACATTGCTAAAACTTTTCGATTGAGAAGCAGAAAACCTTGATTAAAGAAATGAGGCCTCTTCTAATTTTAATCAGTCAAATCTTCCTGACTCAACATGGAGTAGACATACAGTCAGATATAGATAAAACCTCCTTTAAAATTGTTCCTGTAATTCCATTTTGTTGTTTACAGTATTTACCAGGATATTTAGAAAAATCATCATCAAACCTGTAAGGCTGTTCTCCTGTGTGGGTTCTCAAGTGCCGTGTTAGGTTCGCAGACCTCGGAAAAATCTTACCACAGTATCTGTTACGGAAAGATGTTTATAAGAGCAAAGTCAGCACAGTCGACGTTACTTCTCTCAAGCCACAGAGCAGCCAGATGCTTATTACTGATTTAATTAATCTTGCATGGAACTCATATGTCTTTGGTATTTAATATTTGCAAGAAAGCCATTCTACAGACATAAATAACTCTACAAAACAGGCTGCATTATGAGATCTGCTTGAATTTGCTCGAGCATAAGCGAGCAGTTTATGAAAACCAACATCAGTTTTGATGACCCGCATATGCCTCTTTTATTAAGTCCATATCTTTGCATTTACAAAACTGATCCAGACAAGGGAATCAAAACAATAAGAGTTTGTGATTCTGGGTTCACGTAAACATATTTCAAATGTTTCAACTCATTTTACATGTCAGCCAGTGACAATTCCCTGTACACTGAATGGTACCAGATCAGACAAGATCCTCAGACTTCATCTATCTATCAATGTGTGTTTCCATAAAAGCTGTTCGGGAAAGAAAGTGACACATTTTCCAAAGAACAGGTAAACTGATAGGCCTGAATCAGTCAGACAGTGCAAATTTCTATAGACAATTGAGAATTTTTAAGTGTAACTTATTTTTTAAGAACACACTAAAACCAGAAACAGACAATAAACTTTAGACCTGTACTGATGATTAACAAGGAAGTTGTTAACTAGTTTTCTTCACTTATAAACTTTATTCATCCTTCCTGAATGGACTTAGTTTTCAATTCCAGGACAATTAACAAATGTATGCTAGAAGACAGTAGTATTTTACCTTTAGCTGAAAATAATTAACTGTGAAAGAAAATTCATAAATATCAAAGTGAGACAAGTAGATAGTATTTGGAAAGCCTCCAGCCTCATATATCACAACCAAATGGTTTATGTTAAAATTCTCATTTAATAATTTTTAAAAACTGCTATTTTTAAATCTCGCCAAATAAAGACCACTTTGAAGTGCCTGAAATCTATCATGGTTGCTATTAATCATCCAATCAAGAATAATTTGAAAAACAAACAACAGGGCCTTCTGAAATCAGAGGGAGATTTTTGGAAAGTCAGCCATAATTAACTTGGTAGTTACCTGCAGGTATAACGCTCCTTTCCCTTACGCAGTAGGTTCTCCGGCAGGGTACTGGGAGGTGCTCTGAAATTGAACATAGAGGGCACTGACTGCAGCAGCTCACTGGCTTCAGGTTTCAGGGCACTGAAGCCCTCTAGCTTTTCTGCCATGTTTTCAATAGCTGACATCTGAAAGGCAAAGTGCAAGACCATGAAGGGCCTGACATCTCCTCCTCTGTAATAATCTCTGACATACCAGAAAGGTTAATAGGAAAGCAAGCAATCTTCTGAGCTTTGGCTCTAAACACTGAACAAACAACAAGACGATCAAATTGGGAAATAAAAGTAGAATCAAGCTCATAAAGTACTAGATGAATGCTTTTTTTTTTTTTACTAAGACCTTAGGTAGTTTTAAGGTAATCTAATATACAATTGCGCAGTGAAACAGCTAAAAGAAATGATAAGGTCAAATTAACTTTAGTGTAATTAAGTAACAATATTTTGTTATAGATATCAAAGTAAACTGAAATTTTAGAGAAAGATATTAATGCCTTTCCTAGTATGAGTTGATATTAATATATGGTAAATATTTAGATTAATTTTCATTGTTTATTTTTATTAGCATATGTACGTGACAGGTTTACATTCCATGTGTGGAGTTGGTACAGGTACATAACACATCCTGATTCTTTTATTCATCCGTAGTCCCTCCATCACCTTCCATATCTTGAGATCCTTTCCTATTTGAGAAAGATCTCTCCCTACCCCCTACCTTTTATTTTGCTCTTTATTTATATTTTGAGTTTCTTATATAAAAGAAACTGCAATACTTAAGCTTGTGTGTCTCACATATCTTACTTAACACTACAGTGTCAGGGTACACGTATTTTTCTGCGAATGCCTCATGTCTCCCTTTCTGCATGGAAGAGCAGTACTCTGCTGCGTGCACATAGCACATTGTATCAATTCTTCTGCTGATAGACATATAAAATTTTTTACAGTAAAACATGCACTTCATATTTCTCTCAAAGTATCCCCCCTCACTTCCAACACACTTCTCCCACGTCCTTGCCACTTCCTGAAGCAGTTCTGAAAGGCTGCATTCATGAGTATCTTGACAAGGCAAGATAAAAGGTAACAGTGAGTGCCACTGCATCCACTGGAAAGGCAGGATGGAAGGACAGGGCCATATGAGCATCACAGAGCTCATCCACTCTATTCACCAGATCTGACACCTAGCAACACCTCGCTCTTCCTCAAAGTGAAACTGGCCAGGAAAAGTAAACATTTGGATCAATTCAGAGCATCATGGCAACGAGGACAACACAAGAAGGACACAAAGGAAGACTTCTGGAACTGTGTCAGAAATAGCAAAATGGGGTAAGTGTGTCAATGGGCCTTTTACTATAATAGTTTTTTAAAATTTAGACATTCATGGAGGAGCCAGGGAGATGACTCAGAGAATAAGCACTTCCCTGGCAAGCACAAGGGCCTGAGTTCAATCCCCAGTTCCACCAAAAAAAAAAAAAAAAGAAAGAAATAGACATTCATGGTAGTTTCCAATCACACCTTATAGTACAGACTATGAGTCCCATGAGAACTCACAGCAAGAAAGGACACCAAATGTCAAAAAGTTATAGCTACATCAAATATGTGTAATCTAGAAAGAAAAGAATTAAATATGTAAGAGGTATACTATGTAAGGCTGTGTTAAACTAATAGCTGAACATGCAAACATTCTAATGAGATTATATAAAAAGAAGTTTGAGGAAATATGCTGTTTTTGACAAAGATGGCAATAAATTGATAGATAATTACATATGAAAATGGCAGATAATTTACACGTATGAACATTTTAAAATACAGGAAAGAGTTCATGCAATTATCTCTCAGGGAATTTTTTTTTTGGTGGAACCAGGGATTGAACTCAGGCCCTCGTACTTGCCAGGCAAGTGCTTATTCAACTGAGCTATCTCCCCAGCCCTTCTCAGGGAAATACTCTTGAAAAAATTATTTTGCCTAATCCTAACAACCTCATTAGTTTTCCTTTTTGTATGCAAGTTTTTGTTGAGCTACATCCATATTTGAAAATTAGGAGATTTCATTACCTTTCAAAGTTGGCTTGATCCTTAATGTCTACAGTTAAAGAAACTTTCCATTTACCTTCAACTATCCTAAAAGGTTGTTTCCTTGGCGTCCACATTTTGTTTAGAAGCTATTTATTACCAATTTTTTTAAGTAGACAAAGCACACTCAGTGCATCTTGCTAAATCAATTTGTTTTCAAATATTAAAAAGAATTGCTATGCATTTCTTAGAATTAGTGCAGTAAACCAGAAGATACACACAGACCCAGAAGGTAAGTACTACACACTCAAGGAGCTCATCAACCTAAGAGGTGAATCATTTTGTTGCTGCAGCAGCAAAATAGAGGAGATCTAATATGCAAGCTTTTTAAAAGATTAACAACATTTATATACAGTGAACACACCATGGGACAGAATACTTTTTACTTCCTATGCCAGAATACAGTTCTCACCTCGATAATAGTGAATGTCTGATTGTTCACATGACTATTCATGTTCTAGTTAGCTCTTTTTTTTTCTCTTGATCCTGGAACCTGCCCTCTCATTTCATGCCCAGACTCCTAATGTTAGCTACAAATTGCAATGACAGGGTACCACTGCCAATTTGCCAAATGTCTTTCATCAAACACTGTGCAAAAAAAAAAAATCTCAGAGGAAAGTCAAGATACATTTACTTGTCAGACAACAAATGTGAACACATCGGGAGGCAGTAAGGGCTATAAGCTCAAGGGTTTGATTCATAATCATTCAGCTGCTAAAACATTCTCCACAGATGCAAGTGGACAGCACATTTGTCACTATGAAGGATTTTGACACACACTGATCACAGAGCAGAGATATGGAATGATGATGCGGCTCAGAGAGAGGTTGGAGGAAATTCTCTCTGCAGAATGGAGACATTATCCCTTTCTAGCCAGAATATTAGTATTTTACATTATGTTGGCTTTTATTTATTAAAAATCAATCCAGAAATACCTTATGATACTATTTTAGTTGCATTTACTATTAGATACTGTTAATGATACTACTGTAATTGTTCCTTGCAGGATATTATTTTGGCATTCCATCTACCACAGAATAAATTATCTGAGTGAAAAATGACCTCTAGTCTTCAAGCTTATTAGTAGTAACAAGCAAGGGTAAGAGTCATGATCAGATGTATTTATTGGGAAGAACAGTAAATGCACGTGTGATGATTATAAATGTTTTATTTATGTACATTTAATATTTGGCAAACTTTCATTATCTAGCAGCTTTAAATCATTTGAGTGTCCAACCTGCTGACATACTCAGATTCCTGCAGCATTATGTCTCATAGAAACGCTTTTCTCCTTTTATATGGAAAATAGCTTACTCATGACTATGATTATTCTCAACTTTCTAGTCCTTCAAGTTATTTAAGAGCAACTGGCTGGTAAGAAATGTGTCTTGTTTTAGTAGCTGCTAATGGCTAGCTCCTTTTGAAGAAAGATCACTGTGATTACTTTACCTCAAACTGTTTCAATTTGGGAAAGCCATCAAGAAACAAGAAAATATATTAGGGGTTTGATGACTAAAGAATGACACTCTTAAAGATAATAGGAAAAAGAATGGAGGCTACCTGAGTGTCTCGCCTACAAACCATCCTCACCATTGGCTTCTAGCATCAGTAAAAAGAGGATTGAATTGGAATAAGGAAAAGAGAAGGAAAAGTGAGCTGAAGGTAGCTATTAACACACACACACACACACACACACACACACACACACACACACTTTTTGTCCAGCTAGCGACAACACCTGAAATGATATAAAAGCTCTTTAATGAATCTTCCTCTTGTCCTCCTCAGATCTGCTCTTGGAGCACTTAATCAGTTGGAAATAGGATCCTCATTAGAACAGGGATGCTGACTTCCACAGACACCTGCCAGTTGGATTACATTTGCAACCCTTTGACCAATATCAACCTTGGTATAAACCTTAAGACTGAAGTATTGAATTCAAGTGAAATTTAGCTAACAGATGGCCAAAACCTTAACTTTTTCCTGCTATCTGGTCTGACTCATGTCCCTCCATGAAGCACTACACATTTTATAGAAGTAGCAAGTTTCAATATTCACTTTAAAGTCCGACTTACATTTTGTAAAGCAAGATAATTTGGGATATATGGGAAAAATCGATGTACACATATTTTATTTATGAAAATCAAATGAAAAAGGTAATGTGTGTTATTGTGAATGAGAAATTTGCTGACAATGGAGAAGCTAAAGGGGGAAAACTTAGATCATATATTTTAGAAACGTCTTGCCATATGACCCACTCATGTCTTAGGGTAACCTCATATGAGTAAATGGCAGTTTTTTCCTATGGAACAGTACTTTTTATTTACATATATAATAGTTGTTGATGATATCTGCAGCCAGATGTCTGGAAGAGGAAGTTGTTTTGCCCCCTTTCATTCCTCAAGAGGCTATTAACTTTATACTGACGCAAATTAATATTTAGATATAATTCCCTTGCTCCTACCAAAAAATATAGCCAACGTCTCTAGTCAAATAAAGTCAGTATTTTAAACGATATTTCAGCAGTCAAGATATCATCAACTGAGTCCTGAGCACTTAGCTTAATATTTATTGTCTGGCACCAGTAATTGATGACATAAAAGTTTCTCATTTAAACTATCAAAGTGACAACTTGATTATATGAAATGATATGTCCAAAGACAATATGAATTATGTGACCTAATGTTTCACAATTAGATTACACATGGCTTTATCATAAAATCATCAACTATTCATAAATAACTTATCATGGGAAAGTTTGTAGATTAGGCAGTTTTCTATATTTATTCACTTGATAATCTTGAGAAATCTCAAAATCATGGTCATTTGAAGGAGAAGCAAATATTTATATTTTATTTTTATATCACTCCATGTATCATATTCAGGAATCATGACTGAAATTACTTACAATTTTTATCACTAAAAATTATAAACATGTATCTTTAATGTTGACTATTAATATGTCTTACAATAGAAATGTCGGGGTTGGTGAGATGGCTCAGTGGTCTAAAGCACCTACTTATACTTAGAACAAGCTTAGCAAAGGACAGGGACCACGGTTCAATCCCCCAGCACCACATGGCTGAGCTGGCCACACACACACACACACACACACACA